GGGTTTGTGTGTGTTTTGCTTGTTGTCGTTTGTGGGTTTTTTTCTGAATAAACAGCCTCATTTTTGAGAAGTGGCTGGGGGAAGCCAAGGCTCCAGCTGAGCCCTCTGGCCGGGCGGAGGGAGCCGGGGCTGGGGGAGCGTGCGAACCAGCGCGGGTGCGTGCGGGGAAGCACGTGCACGCGGGTGCGCCCGTGGGGACAGCCCGGGGGGGACCCCGCTGGAGCGTGCAAAGCACACCCAGGGCTGTGAAAACCCAGCAGTTCCCCAAACAAGCAGGCAGGGCTTTCATCTCCGTCTCTCTCCTCCGGCCGGGTGCCCCAGCACGCGCCTTCTCGCAGCCCTGTTCTCCCACTCCTCTGTGTGCCCCCCGCACCCCCCCTCCCAGCCCTGGGACTGGGCTTTGAAATCTGTTGAAAAAGAAAGCCTCTTTTGCCAAAATAAACAGCCTGTCATGTTAAATTACTCTCCCTTCCTCTCTGCCTCCCCTGCCTGCGTTCCCCCCTTCCCCACCCCAGCCTTTTTGCTGGGGGCCTTGCTTCTCCAGGCTGCAGGCTCCTGGGACACAGAGGTGCCAGCTCTGGAGCTGGTGTGGAGACATCATCTGCCTCCCACATCCCGGTCCCCCTGTCCCTCGTCAGCTCCTCCACCTGCCAGCTAAACCCCCCGTGCCCTTCTGCTGAGTGGGGAGGGCATCTTGCAGGGCATGGGGCTCAGCAATGGCACAAGGTGGGTGAAGGGTTCTGGGGGTTCACTGCAGGTAACTGCCCTGCTCCTGCCATGGCAAGTACTCCCGTGTGGCCCAGGGTTTTTCCTCTCTTTCACTTGCCTTTGCTCTCATTTTTCAGTTGTTTTCCCTCTCCTGTTCTTAGCAGAGTGAAAATTCAGAGAACCATAAAATGCTGAGATGGAAAACGAGTGATTAGCTCATTCAGCCTGGCCCCTCTGCCAGTGCCAGGCTGTTCCCTGCCAGCCTCCCAGTGACTTGTCCAGACTGAGCACTGCACTCTCTCACTATGCCTTCCATGGCCTAACTGACCTTCTTGCTAGGAAGCTTTCCCCAGTGTTTCAACTCCAATGGATGTGTGACATTTGAGCCTGGGTTCCCAATCCTGGGATAGCCCAGAACACCCAGCCCTGCCCTCTGCTTGACCGTGCTGCTCTCCCCCACACACAGCAGGGCTCCAGGCAGTGCTCAGCCCTCTGGGGTTTTGCTGCTTCCTCTGCACTGGATGGAGCTTCTGCTGTCTCCCCACCACCCTGACCTGTGCCAGCCCCTCTCCATGCCAGCTCCTCTTGCTCCTGCTGGATGGTATCTGCCTTGGCCTCCTGCAGTGCCCAGCTTGGGCTCTGCCAGGGCTGCAGGAAGGGATGTCAGCAGGCACCAAGTGGCTTCATGCCCCACAGCAAAGGTCACAGCAGGCAAAGTGGTTTAAAATCTGTCTGGGGCTCACCAACCCTGGGCATTCCCAGCCTCCAGGTGGTGAGGAGCCTTCTGCAGGCTCACACTTACCTCCATAGGTTGTACTGCAGGCATGTGAAGATGTTTCGTGGGTAGAAGCTCAGGGCTCAGCAGACGGTCATGGAGGACAGACCCCTGCCTGGAGGGCAGCTCCTCAGCCGTGTGGGACTGAAGGAGGCATGTGGACAAACTGGAAACAACCCTGAAGAGATCCAGAAACCTAGTCTGGGCTATATAAAAGGGCCATAAAAAGCCTGAGCCACAGGCAGTGAGGGGACTAGCCCTGAACTCCATGCCTGTCTCTCATATGGGTTCCTGCTGTCATGGAGCCTTCCCCACTCCCTTACCTGCTCTGACCAAGGTTTGCAGGGAAGCCTGGGAATACTGAACAGATGTCTTGCTGGGAGAGCCCTGCCTTCCATCCACGGGCTTTAATGAGGAGCTCTGGCTCAGGGCCTGGGAAGCTGGGGGTCCTGCCCTGGAATGGATTCACCATGCACCCCCCTCTCCGGGATTTCTGGGATGTGATGGAGGACAGAAGGAAGGTATGAAAGAAAGGCTGAGCAGAAACAACAGGCAGTCTCTGCCCCGTTGTGGCCGGAACTGTCCTAACTCCGGGCAGCCCAGGGAGATGAGCCTGTCCTGGGGCAGCTCTGCTCCTCGGGAGGTGGAAGGCGACTCAGAGCGCGCTCAGACCGGAGCGGGACGCCAAAAAAACATCCCCTCCCGCTCCTCCTGGCAGCAGCGGGGCTGAGGACCCAGCCCCTGGCTCCACGGCTCGCTCCCAGCCCGCTGCCCAGCGCTTTTGGGGCCGAAAGTGCCGTTTTGCAGGTACCTCCCCCCAAACCCGGAGACGATGCTCCCCCGTGGTCCAGCGCTGTCGCCATGGCAACCGCGGCCGCCGCGCGTTCGGGACCTGCTGCGGGGCGGGGGGGCCCGGGCGGGGCGCCGGGATGAGCATCCCCTGTCATCCTGCGGGAATGCCGGATGGTCTGTCTCGGCCCCGGGCGGGGGGGACACGCC